CTGCATGTCATTTGAATACCATTATTGTTATTATGACAATTGTTATATACCCTTCTTTTACTATTCAATACCAGAGAGGTAAAAGCATATTTATTGGTGTTCGTCGATATTGTATAATCAAAGACGTACACTCCCAATTTTGGGGCTGTAAAAATTCCTTTAACCGCGTTGTATCCACCTCCTATATTCAGATCGACTTCTCCGAACATGACAATGTTTCCCTGACTTACTGATTGAATACTTCCTTTTGCTTTGGCGTTGAATGCTATGACCGTATTTTCTAAGAACAAACAAAGTACATGATTGTATAAATGAAAAACATGTGAGTTCATTGCATATTCATCATTTCAAGGACGTAGCTGGGTAAGTATCTTACTTCTGCCCAGGTTCCTTTTACAGTGATCCTTAACATATCCAACAGCCACACATGTTTTAGCGACACTGTCATAGTCGTCTCTGAAGGATTTAAGGCTGGGTCGGGGTGACACTTTGTCAGTGTTAATAATGCCCAAAAGTGAACCAAATCCCACAATCAACACTAAGGAATCCATTCTACAAAATACTTGATAAACATAGGAAAAAATGATTGAATTCCTCATATTAAACATTTACATTTCAAAATTGAAATCTCAATGACTATAAATTGTTTTTGATTTTCACTACATGTGAATTTTCGGTCAAACATTAAAGGTTGTAGTTTTCAGAATTATAGAAATAGTAATAAATAATAGTATGAGAAAAAACGTATTCAGACTAAATAAAGCTATGACTTTATATTTCTGTCTATTTGTTAATTCATATATTTCTTTTTTTCATTTTTTCCGGGTATTCTTAAAAGGTAAGATATTAAAATGAAATGAAAGGATTTTAGATTGAAATTTTTTAAAGTAAAAAAAAATTAAAAAGGTTTGTTTAACTTAGTAGTAAGTTAACTTCAAAACTTCTTCACGTATAACGCTATGAAAATTTATGTATTCCATACAAAGTTACATTAAAAAAAAACGCCAATTAATGTTCTTGATCTATTCTTAGTATAAACAGTGTCTTACCTTTCGTTAGGAATACTTGATAACGCCGAGTGAAGATGTAATCTTTCTTTCTAGTACCAGCTTTTATATATTTTATCCCCAGCGTGCTATCTTATCATTTGGTAACATATTGCAGTAGAATCATTTGATATCTGTATCGAAAAAAAATATTTATTTATGAACGTTTTCCAAATTTTACAAGTACTTTTAAAGTACTAGTCTATTTCAAAAGTGGCTGTGTAGATATAAATATTCCATAAAAATTATATTGTATTATCCTTATTTTCTTCAGGAAAAACAATGGTAGGGGGAGGCTATTTTATAAAATGTTCGATACCTGTTTGTCTTTTTTTCACAAGTCTTGAATACGTATATATGTTGTGAAGCTCGTTTTGTCACATAAGATTGACCGGGGACTCATATTGTAGTTCTCTTTTTAATACTTAAGCTGTTTTAGAGACAGATTATTTATATAAGTAGTATAGTAATAACGATAGCAAAAAAGGGACAAAAAAAGGAGCCAAAAACAAAACCTAAAACAAAAACAAAAAAAGAAAGAAAAACCCAAACAGAATAAAAATCCAAATCATAAAAACTGTATATCACAAAATTATATTGTAGTCACTTCCTACCTTACATACGTATGTACCAGTGGTGGATCCAATGCTTTTTGAAAAAAGGGACCTATGGTCTCCGAATAGAAAGAAAGAAAGAAAGAGAGAGAGAGAGAGAAAGAAAGGAAGGAAAGATGAGTTTGAAATTTAAAAGGAATGTATACATATGGGGATGTGCGTCCGATACCCTATCCAATACCCTGTGAATGTGATTTAAAACTGATGGAGTGAAAAACTCTCCCCCTTTTCTTAAATCCCTGAAATTTATGATGCATGTACAGTGTATGTGCCAGCATCTTCGCTAGCCAAGGGTTTCTGATACGCTACTCTCGAGGAGAGTAGCGTATCAGAAACCCTTGGCTGGCGAAGATGATGTGCCAGTCAACTTTAAAAATGTTGATTTCAATAATATTGACCGTTGCCTTCTTGCTTAAATTAAACATTTTGTTAAAGACCCTGTAGGCTAAATAGATGTAATAGAAACTAAACTTTGTCAAAATGACACTCTTATAGATCGATCGATATACAATATTAAACTTAAGGACATATCAAAACTGGACATGAACTGTGAGCACTTCAGTAGCTAACTAATATAATGATACTTCCGACATCCATATAATCCTGGGGCAAAATCAATCTCTCAGTCTCAGAGAAACCCTAAATAAGTATCAGATCTAAAATAAAGATAGGACTGATGTGCACAATGGCATTATGTAATAAAGAACCTTTAAAAGTATCAAACATTGAGTGGTGACTGGTGTAGGAATTAAAGTTGCGGATATAAGAGATGGGTACCCTAAAATATTAAAGAAAGAATGGTCGTGTCAGTGTTTTATTAGTTATGGGAAACCCTGAATTTCCAATTTTAACCAAAGAGTAAAATGGAAAGTGCACAATGGCATTACAGGTGTATATGTAACAAAGATTCTGTGAAAGTTACAAAACAATTCAATCAGTGGCATAGGAGGAGTTGTGAAAAAAAAATTATACCCATGTAGGTGCCCCGGCCAAAGATGACAGACGGAAAAAATCCTTTAAAATAAAAATGAAACAGTGAATACGCTTCATTTTACTATGATGCGCGAAATAAATGCACAGTGGAAACCATAGTCGGTACATGTTAAAATCAATAAATCAATGTTCATAAAGTTGCTTTCTTTCGTATGAGTTTTAAGTCTTGAAATTTACATTTTGAACATTTTTGCAGCTTATTTGTTGTAAAAATCAGATCAAAGGTAAACTTGTGACAGTTTGTAGCTAAGAAAATTAAACTGATGCTTACTTTAAAACAAGCACTAATTTAGATTCAAATCTTACATGGAAGCCACAAGAGGGTGCAGAAGTACGACATTTTCCTCAATTCTGGTGGAATTTAAGATGTCATAATCGAGATACAAGTTCTCTTTGGAAAACATAGAGCGCGAGCTTGCCTATTTAATAAAGATTTTTACACCTGCATGTATATATTACATCTGACATTAGTGCATAAAATATATAAATTTGGTAGATAGGCAAGCGTGTGCTCTACGTTTCCCGAAACAAAATGTGCTGTAAAATCGATGAAAACTTGCATAAAAATGAGAAAATTCGAAAAATGACCTATTTCTTAACCTCACTGTGACCTCTGTATATTCTAGATCTTAGAACTAATACTCATTTTGTGACAGCAGGTTTTTATGGATAAACTGTTGGTTCATTCTGAAAGACGCCCAAGATCGGGGTCCTAATACTACATGTAGTCTTACCATATCTTTTCCTTTAAAACTTTAATATATGGTATACGTAAGATTACATGAAGGTAACTAAACTGATGAATTTTACATCTCTTTTGATAAATGTAACAGGAAGGAAATTTAATTCTGAATGACCTAGGTAAAATAAAATTGTCAGTATTGGCAAGAATTCGCTTTTCTGCAATGTGATAGATTATTGTACTTAAATAAATAAATGTATTATTCAAACTGATAAACAAAAGAGAGAAAAAATATAGTTGGTCTATTGTTGTTGTTGTTGTTGTTTTTCATTAAAAAAAAACGCCAATCCAAAACTTATACAAAAAAGGAATATTATATGTAATTACCCGTTTTCCTATCACATCCTGTGCCAATAAGAGAAACGGAATAAGTGATGTAAAACATCGTCTGCAGTCACGATTCGGATCCAGCATTCAGCTCTCTCCTACCCGACCAGAATGGGAGAGGATCGTGCATGCATTTTAGCCATTGTTTGTGACAATGTGTAAAATATTACCATGAACTGTCTTGCAACGTAAAGTTTCTTTACCTTCCTATGCACAAGGGTATATCTTTAAAGCTACTCGATCCCGGACAAGTCAAAATGTTCAAGCTTATATATGTATTAAAGTAATATACGCCGTATGAATGTCGATTTGTATGTGAAAAAAACGACTAAATGATTTGAAACACATGAAGTGAAATAAAAAAATAATATTTCAACAAAATTTAACTATATAAATCGTTGTAATAACAGTACAATAAAGCAATATCTGCAATTAAGAATCCAGTCTTTTCATGAATATTGATAAAGGAAGTGCGTAAACAGTAGGCCTAAATATAGACACGTCTGTCCACGGGAAATCACAGACAATGAGGTATGTTGCATTTTGACAACGATTATTAATAAAAGGTTAATATGCGTCATAACAGAGTATAGATGGTTGATATTGATTACATTTGAAGGTAAGTTAAATTAATAGTAACACGCCATCCATGTCAAAAGTGAGTTGTATCTCAAAGGGCTTACCTCGTTTTCTCAACGCCGTGTTTGTTTATCAATCTAAAAGTAGCGACGGCGTCACGTGGTGGGTTTATTTAAAAATAGCCATTTCTTTCCTTGCAGGATAATTAATAATTAAAATTTGATAACTAAATAACGCATTTTATTTAAATGGTGTGATTTACAGTATTTTCGTAACTTTTATTGGTAAACAAAATATATAATTTCCAGCCGTATTTTATAATGGCGCACGTCATAGCGTATATTACTTTAATGTTCTTCAGTATATTTGATGAATTTTTTTCAGCCTCTTTTTGACGTGGCAAAAAATATATACTTTTGACAGCATACTTCCCTTGTGCAATGGAATCAAAATCATGAACATTTACGAATACATTCACAGTCATATAACATATATGCATATTATACTCTTGTAGAACCTACATAATTATGTAAGATAGACAACAAATCTGTTACTAATTTTTAAATTTAATTTTAGATTTTATTTGTACATGTATATCCCTATTTCGCATTTACAACATGTAGCCAGAAAAAAAAGAATACAAGTGGTAAACAGATGATGTTCCAGAAAAGTTATCAATCCAAACTTTATCTCCAGCTTTCATTTTGACGACAGCCATTTTACTACATGACATGTAGATACTGTGGCGTTGTTATGACAATGGTTATATGCCTTTCTTTTACTATTCAAGACCAGATAGGTATAAGCATTTTTGTTGGTGTAGGTCATTATTGTCCAATCAAAGACGTAAACTCCCGATTTGGGGGCGGTGAAAACTCCTTTAACTGCGTTGTATCCACCTTCTATATTCAAATCGACTTCTGCAAACATGACAATATTCCCAGCACTTACGGATTGAACACTTCCTTTTGCTTTGGCGTTGAATGCTATTACCAAATTTTCTGAGAACAAATAAAGACATATGAAAATTAGAGGCATATTATCAGTGCATATTCATTATATCACGCAGGCATGTAGCATCGTTTTTGAAAGTGGGGGGGGGGGAGCAACCTGAGAACATTTTTTTTACTTACCTGAAAAAGTTGACAAGCAAAAAAAAAAAAAAAAAAAAAACGAAAAATTAAAAGTTGCCCAAGGTCGAAAATCCTATTTCGTGGGGGTGGGGGGGGAGGGGTGAGTGGCTAACTTTTTTCAAGACCAACTGTTTTCTTTATTACAATACACTGTGCTGAAATGTGTGGGGCAGGGGGTAACTTCCCTTTCAGTAAACATTTTCTATAGTAAAGGCAGACCCCCCCCCCCCTTGCCTGCCTTGATACTACGTGCCTGTCACGGATGTATGTTGGTATCTTACTCCTGTCCAGATTCTGTTTACAGTGGTCCTTAACAAATCCAACGACCACACACGTTTTAGCCACACTGTCATAGTCGTCTCTGAAGGATTTAAGGCTAGGTCGGGGTAACACTTTGTGAGTGTTAATGATGCCCAAAATTGAACCAAATCCCACAATCAACACTAAGGAATGCATTCTACAAAATACTTGATAAACATAGAAAAACATGACTGAATTCCTCATATTAAACATTTACATTTCAATATTGAAAGATCTGTGGGGATCCGGGTTAGAATAGGTCCTCAGTATCCCCTTGCTTGTTGTAAAAGGCGACTAAATGGGGCGATCCTTCGGATGAGACCTTATAAACAGAGGCCCCGTGTCACAGCAGGTGTGGCACGATAAAGATTCCTCCCTGCTCAAAGGCCTTAAATGCTTTGCATAGGCCTAAATTTTGCAGCCCTTCACCGGCAATGGTGACCTATCCATATCAGTGAAATATTCTGGAGAGGGACGTTAAACAGTATACAATCAATCAATCAATCAATATCGAAAGCTCAATGACTATAAATCGTTTTTTTTTTTTGATTTTCACTTCACGTGAATTGTAGGTCAAATATTTAGGGTCGTAGTTTTCAGAATTAAAGAAATAGTAATAAACTAGAGCCGAGATCGTTGCAAAGCAACGAGTAGGTCTTACGTCTTGTTTGGCCGGAATTAAGGAGGCTGGGGGTCAACAAAAAAAAACACAAATTGACCACCAGATTTAACTTATTTTTATAGATATATCTTAAGCTGTCAACTATCATTTGGCAATGAAAAAATTTATACATTTTAGTTTTAAAATTTATCATTTTCTATATCTTTGTATGGATCTCTTCTTTTAAAGGAGATCGAAATAGTCTGAAAATGGCTGCCACACTCCAGCCTCGTTAACCTTCATTAAAAAAAATGAGTAATGAAGTCCAAAAATGGGTTAATCCTCTAAATCTATGTTAATTATTGCAAAATTAAGCCATTCTTTGGTACTTCCGGTTTGTTACCCCAAAACCTGTAAAAAACGGCAAAACTATGCATTTTTTGACTTCTTCCAAAAGTGACGTCGCCGGACGTATTTTGACGACCCTATTAGATAAAGCCTGATATTTTGAACAAATTTCCTTTTCGATGTATAACAAATTCTCAATACTTTCTGAGATATCTGAAAAAAATTTGGTCCTTCTAGAGCCCTTAATTTAGGAGTAAGCCCTTTTTTCGACATATCATTTGAAAGATCTTCTAATTCTGCACAAATTATGTTCTATATATTTTCACAAAATATTTTTAGCTGAGAAGATAAAAAGAAAAATATGAGTAATTTTTGGTTATTTTAAAGGTCCTAATTTTTTACCCCTACATAGCGCCATTTTGAATTGAGAAATCGAAAAAAAAAAACCAATGTGCACAACTTCAATACTTGTATTATCTAAAATCAGAAGAATTTCTGCTCCACCTTTAACCGTCTCTGAGCCTTTGTCTGGAAACGAAAGCCTATAAATTTTTGTCTCAAGGAAAATATCTCAAAAAGGGAAGTTACTTTTTGAAATTTCAGACAGCATTCTGATAGAGTGTTTATTAACGTCTATAGCCCTTGAAAATTTGAGCGAAATTCGTCGAGAAATGAGCGAGATATGAGGCCTCAAAGTTGGCGTCTAGGAAGCAGAAGAAAAAAGTGTAACTAGATACGATCTCATTGCGAGCAGCGAGTAGGTCTTCCGTTAAGTTTATTTATAAGATGAGATGTGATTTTGACTGAATCAATTTTTTCTGATTCATATCACAATATTTTGAGCATTTTTGTACTATGTGGCTTTTAATTAAAATATTTGCCCTTTTCGAGATAAAAAAAACCCTCAAAGATTTAGCATTCTGACCCCATTGCGACACCTTATTAGGTAGCATATGATCAATATTTTATAATATATAGTTACACTTTTTGTTTCAGTAATATATACGTTAACGATCTAAAGATGAAAGAATTTTGACCCGTCTGGGCCCCTAATTTGAGAAGTCAGCCCCTTTTTCCTTATATCAAATGAAAGGTCTTGTAATTCTGCACAACTTTTCTTCAATATGTTGTGGCAAAATATGATTAGGTACGACGATATATATGAAACGAAATGTGACAATTTTTTTGAGATGTTTCAGAGAAATTTCTTCGGGCCTTACTGAGCTCCGGCGCCTTATGCGCTAGAAAGATTTGGAGACCCAATTACATTTCACCAAACCTTCCTTTACTTTCACTGAAAATCTAAAGTCAATATCTTAAGTCGTTTCAGAGGAGTTTCCAGGACAAGCCGACCCTCTGAAAATCAGAAAATCGTCCATATCTCACGACCGGAAGTGATGTCTTCAAAAAACAAAATAACCTTTCAAGATCAATTGAATATCTTTCAGATCTGAGAGTTTGGTAGAAATCGGACGAGTCATCTCTGAGAAATCGCTTGCACAAAATCGGTTGGAAGAAAAACTAGATACGATCTCGTTGCGAGCAACGAGTGAGTCTTCCGTTCGATTCTTGATCACATTTTGATTGAGATTTTTATTCGAAAATAATGATTTTTCATGATCTGTAAAAAGGCATTGAAAATAAAGACTTCGAAAATCGACTTTTGGCCCCTCATGGCCCCTAATATTAGGGATCAGCATTTTTTCTTCATATCATTTTAAAGCTCTCATAATGAACACATTTTGTTCAACAACTATTCAGATATTCTTTTTCGTTTTCGAGTTATCTGCATAAGAGATATTTAGGGGCCAACCCTTCAGTTCTTTAATGAAGACGTTTAGCGAAAAATGAAAGGTTGCATATTGTTCAGAACATCATTCTGAACATCTTTTGTTCAATATTACTTATAGAAAATATTTCCCACTTAGGGGATATCAAGCGTCAAAGATTTAGCATTCTGGCGACAGTTTCACTAACAAATCGGAAATCGTAAACGTACGATAACGTTTACGATTGCTAGAGGTGCAGCTACGTTTACGATAAGTTTTGTGAAACGCTCGTTTACGTGCAGCACGTAAACGAGCGTTTCACAAAACTTATCGTAAACGTAGCACTTACGACTGGCGAGTTACGATCAACTTATTGGAACTCTTCTGACAAAGGAGGCGTATTTCTATTTGTTTGAGAGTGAGAGAAAAGTGAGAGAGGAAAGAAATTTATATCATTACGAAAAATAAAATAAAGATCTTATTATTTGTCTTAGTCTTCAAAATTAAAGGCAGTGAATAAGAGAAAAAAGACAGGTAATGGACAATAGATCACTTAAATGAATGAAATATAATACATCTATTCTATGCATAAAATTTGACTTAAGATCCTTTTTTTATAACTAGGATCAAATTATACGCATTGAATATCTTTATTCTAACTTGCATTTCACGAATTATTAAGGGGGATGTACAAGCCATATTGGATCAAGTTGGGTGTAAAATAGGAAATGCCAAGAATGGACTTAATACTCTACTAAATTAGCCCAAAGTTAGTCAAAGTGCTTAAGCACTCATTACCTACTGTTAGAGATTAAAATTAGTACATAATTAAGTTTATTTTGTTTTAATTACGAGGAAAATAATCACGTTAGAACTGCGCAGCTACAGCATTCACGAGATGACAAATGCATTGAAAATGATGTTGGTTCGATTCATTGATAATATGGCTACAACCATTTGTTTCGCTTTTTTTCTTGTTATTTACCTTAATTGTTGAAAATTAGATTTTTCATATGGGGGTCTTCCTGAGGCCATGTGCTTATTTCGTCCTCCATTCCTCTGTCACACAGAGTTCGAATAACATCGATTTTAGAATAAATGCGACCATAATAACATCAAGACAAGAAATTACTCAGTAATAATCATTAGTTTATATAACTTACTACTTTTATTTGTTGCATCACATCGTCCGATGAATGAAAAAAACGCAATTTTAACCCCATTCCAGTAAATCGGGGAAAACTGTTCTGTTTATAGCTCGAGTTTCCTCGTTAATATTATTCCACTGAGCACGTGGTTGGCATGTGCATATATTTGCTGTGAATCGATGCGTTTCTTACCATGATTAAATTTATTTTTGATGGAACATGTCTTGATAATTTGTATGTTTCTTTAAAACTCAAGAAAAAAATAAATAATACCCTAAACATATGTGTTTACGGCGGGTCTCTTTTCTGTGGCGATAGAAGTTATTTTCAAATGGGGCACTGCAAGGAGGACGCTTAGCATATAAATTACATTTGATAAGTTGGTTTTGCAGTTAGATAAATTAAAAAGGCAGTTGTAGGATTTCCTTCAGGTACCTCACATAAATTAGTTAGATTGTTTGCAATGACCTACACATTGTATGGAGTAATGTTTGGACATAAAACACATCATGTCTCATTAAGTTGACAACGTTGTATTATTAAGCTCTCACGCATTGAACATACGAAGTTTGATAAAATATATTGAGTTGTTTCTTTAAAATTTAGTAAAATCGAGCACAATGTTTGCAAAGAAAGGTCCATTGCATATCCTATGTCTATCTAAAAAAAAGAAGAGTGAAAGCGACCCCCCCCCCCCGGAAAATCCTATGTTCAAAATAGTGCCAAAGCTTTAAATATTTTGCATTACTATGTATGTGATGGAACAGCCTTATAAAGACACTTGTTATAAAAAAAATTCGGTTGCCCTCTCTCCCGACCTACTGCCTATAAATGACCCAACTCAATTTTTTTTATATCCCATTGATTACACGATTTTTTTCTTCCGTCAACAATGTGTTAAATTTAAAGGAATTTTTTCTCACCTATAAATACGGACCCAATAATCATTTTCCCTGAGTTGGGAGGTTCATCAAACGTCATTTTAATAAAAGATGGTCTAAAATATTGAATTACATGTATGTTAATTTTATTTTCTTTACTCTGTATAATTGTAATTTTGACAATATGAGCAAGTAGAAAAAAATTATTAATCAGTAAATCTCCTAAACCACTCTGGATGATTTCGTTCCTTTTCAAATGTTGCTCCGCTGTAATGAAAATTGTAAATGTTTATTTGACACAGTAATTATTATTACGAGGGGTGATCTTTTTGATCATATCTTAGGTATTTGATAATTATATAATTGTTGAAATATTCAAGTATTTTTCAAAGTGTAAATTGGAGGTCTTTGATTAATAGTAAATTGTTTAATTAAAAACACATCCCTTTTCAAATTAAACTTGCTTTCACCGGGCAACCAGAAAAAGTATCATATTTAACCATCTGCCTTTCTTCACTAAAACGATCTATCCAATATATGATTGAATTTATAGAAATTCATTTGGTCTTAATAAACTGCGAACAAATTCTTATACCTACTTCAAAGGTATTTTTAAGATATACCATAAATACTACAGTCGTTTGTTGAACGAGTTCCACTGAGACAACCATTTTTCGTCACAAGTGATCTGCATAGTGACGTCATTTTCACATTTTGGCGTCACAAAGAAGGGGCAAAACTTTATTCAGCATAAGCTCTATAGAACTTGTGTATGGCTATGTTTGTACCACATTTATTTTTAATCTGAACTTTGGTTTTTAGCTCACCTGAGCCGAAGGCGCAAGTGAGCTTTTCTGATCACAATTTGTCCGGCGTCCGTCTGTCTGTCTAGCTGTCTGTCCGTCTGTCCGTAAACTTTTCACATTTTCGACGTCTTCTCAAGAACTGCCGGGCCAATTTCAACCAAACTTGCCACAAAGCATTCTTGGGTGAAGGGAATTCAAATTTGTTCAAATGAAGGGCCACGCCCTCATTCAAGGGGAGATAATTGGGAATTAATGAAAATTCAGTGGCATGTTTTAAAAATCTTCTCAAGAACCACTGAGCCAGGAAAGTTGAAACTTTTGGGGAAACATCCTCAGGTGGTGTAGATTCAAGTTTGTGCAAAACATGACCCCCGGGACTAGGGCGGGGTCACAATGGCCGATCAAAGTTTTACAGAGAAATACATTTAAATTTAAATTATTTGAAAATCTTCTTCTCAAGAATAGCAAAGCCATAATTGATCATATTTATATGGAAGCGTCCTCAAGTAGTGTAGATTCAAATTTGTTCAAATCATGACCCACGGGGGTAGGGCTGGGCCACAATGGCCGACCAAAGTTTTACATAGAAATATATAGGAAAATTCTTTGAAAATCTTCTTCTCAAGAATAGCATGGCCATAATTGATCATACTTATATGGGAGCATCCTCCGGTAGTGTAGATTCAAATTTGTTCAAATCATGACCCACGGGGGTAGGGCTGGGCCACAATGGCCGACCAAAGTTTTACATAGAAATATAGAGGAAAATTCTTTGAAAATCTTCTTCTCAAGAATAGCAAAGCCATAATTGATCATATCTATATGGACGTATCCTCAGGTAGTGTAGATTCAAATTTGTTCAAATCATGACCCCCAGGGGTAGGGCGGGGCCACAATGGCCGACTAAAGTTTTACATAGAAATATATAGGAAAATTCTTTGAATATCTTCTTCTCAAGAATAGTAACGCCATAATTGATCATACTTATATGGGAGCATCCTCAGGTAGTGTAGATTCAAGTTTGTTCAAATCATGACCCCTATGGGTAGGGTGGGGGCCAAAATGGCCGACCAAATTTTGTATAGAAATATATAGGAAAATTCTTTGAAAAAGTTCTTCTCATGAATAGCAAAGCCATAATTGATCATATTTATATGGAAGCATCCTCAGGTAGTGTAGATTCAAGTTTATTCAAATCATGACCCCCGGGGCTTGGGCGGGGCCAGGTGAGCGATTGGCCCATGGGCCTCTTGTGTAGATATAGAGATAGTTCGCGAACTTTTTGATCACCCCTCGTACCAGTAGGTACAAGGTCATTCATACGATCTTAAGTGATAATTAAAATTTTGATAGATAATATAAGTTAACTGTGGCAGACAAGTTTTACCTTTGATGGTGCTCATTTTTCCTTACCTGGAATCAAAAAGTTTAAGATTTTTTAATATCAATACGTACACTATTTTTTAAGCCACATTATAATATACTGAGTATTTCCTCTTTTAAAAGTTTTCATATTATTTGAAAAATTTTGCAACTGTAATTCTCTTCTACATTTAAAGATTGTTATGTCCCTCCATATTAAGAAGAGGTCTGGAAAACAACATTCTTTGCTAATAATAGACCACGTGCTACTATCCATGAACTACTTTCATGGTTCTTTACATTCATTTTGAGGACAACGGTACCTTGTTTTGAGCTTGAAATAATCATTTAAAAGTGCAATATTTAGACATTTTCTCAACAAATGATTGTAGAGAGAACATTAAAGCACAGTTTGTATATTTTTCTGGATTTTTTAAGGCTCTGCTGAATTCTGTAGCTGCGCAGTTCTAAAGAGCACATCAAAAGCATTTTTCTGCAAAAGTATAGATTAAACATGCAAAACATGCATTTAGTTATGCATATTTATAGTATCTTTATCATAAGGACTTAAAATTTGATCAAAATATAATGTATTTTAACCATATGAAGAATTGTTTACATTTTGTTCACACTGCACTGAAGGTGGCCGTACATCCCCCTTAAGTATACTCCACAATGGTGCATAATGTTTTATTTTACTTAACTCTAAAAGTTATTTTACTCCTTGCTAAAAATTATGACACATCGTGAAGAAGCAAAACATATTAAAAAAAAAGTTTTCCCCTGACTGTAACGCATTGACGTTTTCGTTTCATGTTTCTGTTAGAAATTACCATTTATTGATACATGTGTACAATTCGGCATGTTTATGATTTTTAAATATTGCCAAAACTCACACGCATGTTTTAAAAAGTATTTCTAGATCAGTATATATAAATATGCAATTCTACAATACATTTTGTATTTATATATTTTATACGCAATGAAGGATATTAATAAATTCAACGATTCAATCTTATCGTTTTTTTCTAGATAAAAGCCAAGAACAATGTGTTTCCATTTTATATCCATAGATAAAAAGGTTCCTAGTTTTTTCCAAATCTGTTCAACGATTCAAAAAGTAGATGTTTTGTGGTTTCAGTTGTTTTGCATAAAGTACAGTTGTCCCCCTTGTCTTTTATCCATTTACTTAAATAGGCATTGTTGCAGAGAATATTGTGAAGCATTTTATAATTAAATTCGGCAATTTTATTATCATTTATATCTTTGATTTTTCTCATGTATATATTTTGCCATAAATTTGAGTCGTTTGCAGGAATTGAAAACTCTTGAGAAAGTTTAATTTGATAACACGGTTTAACGAATTTCTTATGTATTAAAATTCTATAGAAGAATTGGCATTTCTTACCATTTAAATTTGATACCCCTGATGCGAAATGAAATTTCATTTCATTCTTTATATTCAGATATTTAGCATTAGATAAGTCACATTTTTTACATAATGGTTTAATTGCTGATAATAAAGTTTTATATTCACAAAGCCAGTTTGACTTTCTTTTAATAATAGTGGAAAACATTTGTAGTGTTTTTATGTTCCGTAACGCTTTCCAAAAGATCGGATTGTAAACAATCAGATCAATAATCCATCAAAAGTCCAAAATTAAACATCCAGAAGAAATAAACATATATACATACTCAGGAAAGATTCCTGACACATACCCAATGAAAATGAATAATCCAAATTCGGTAGATATGTGAAAATTGTCAAAAGACTCGGGAGCTCAGTACAATGCGTCTACCTCGTCCCACGTCACGTGACATATTAAATTAATTGATAGATGCTAGTTTCAGTAAGTTCCCATTATGATTATATAGAATCTAAATATTAATAGTTCTAGTATGGGGAATGTTACACAAGAATTTTTTTTATCAAGGGCACAATATCGAATTAGAAAAATCTAGTGAACACCATTCTTGTGAATGAATTAATCAGGCCTCGGACTAGCCAAACCTACAATATGCTATTCGGATTTCATGAAATAGGAACATTTGAATATTGAATCTTTAGGAATTCGTTTTATTTATTCCCAATATAATCATTGTTGTTGTAAAGTGTCGTAAAGTGTCAAGTTAATTACCTGTCAAGTACAAATGAAAACGTACATATACTTCCGGTACCTGTAAAAGTAGAACTTCCTTGATTGAAACTTAAAATTCCGGATTTTATTTACTTTCCATTTTTCAAACCCCTCGATCTCTCGAACTTTTATCGCGGTCCAATGAACTTCGACAGATCGAGATTCACCTGTAATTAAAACAAAATATTTTATACTTGACTTCATTTTCTTATTTTTAAAAAGAAATATTTTTCTACGAAATGATAGAGGTTTACAACAGATTAGTATTTTTAGGAAAATTGCCATTTGTTATTTTTCAATGAATGACTGTGGCTTATTTAACCACAAACATAAATGGAAATGTATTAACTGGTTTAGACATCGGGATCGAGATGACTCATCTCGATCGTATACGGATATTTCAGATAGAACAATCTCTGGTAGTGAGGATTTAGACGTACAAGACATATTTATCCTTCATTAGAACAATCTCTGATGTTGTTCTTTAGTTGACCAAATTAAGGTCCCTTTTAATCAAAATGATATGGTGGAAGGGGCGCGGGAATTGCTCCCTTGTATCTTTTTTGAGGATTGCATTATTCTAATTGTTTTACATTAAATTTAATATGCTGGGACACTTGTTTGCTTTTAGCCAAATCTTGCAGAAAGAAATACAAAATATCCACATACGAGGGGTGATAAAAAAGTTCGCGAAGTAGTTGAATATCTTCCATAAAAGAAAAAAAAATATTTGGTTTCAATGATGAGTATATTTTTGCGCATGTGCGAATCACGTGATATTGGCGGTCACGTGACCCCCTCCGTAGCGTTCTGTCACAAAAGTTGAAAGATTTTTCTGAGTTTTATATTTCTTTCCATGTAAGTTAATTTTTATGATAAGAACAGTTCATGCCAGAAATGGTCAAATCTCGGCAACAGAATGTTTGGATAAGACAATCCTTTTCAAAAATAAGCATGGCGACCATTAAAACACAAATTTTCTGTCTCGGAAGAGGCCTTTCTTCAAAGGTGGATAGAGAATGGGTGCATCTTTTTTATCATAACTAGTATGTTTAAAATCTAAAGTAAACAATATCTTATGTATTTAATAATTATATTATTGTTCAAATATTCAACTATTCTCCAAAGTGTAATTTGGAGATCTTTGATAGCAAATTGCTTAATAAAAACACATTTCTTTTCAAGCGCGCTCTCACAGGGCAAGAAGACAAGTATCATTTTTTAACCATCTGCCTTCCTTCACTAAAGCAATAATTGCAATCATTAATTGGATTCATAGGAGCTCATTTATCGCAATAAACTGTGTACAAATTATTATATGATACAGCAGAGGGATTTCTAAATTGTATAGTCGTTTGTTGAACTAGTTCAATTGAGAAAACCATTTTTCGTCACAAGTGACCGACATAGTGACGTCATTTTCACATTGTGACGTCACAAACAAGTAAAAAGACTTTATTCAACATTTGCTATTTATAGATCTTGTGTATGGCTATGAGTGTACCAAATTGCATTTTAATCTGAATAGTGTTTTGTAGATATAAAGATAGTTTGCAAACTTTTTGATCACCCCTCGTATTTCCATATCAATGGCCACATATTTCTATATCATCTCTAAAATGCCTTATTAAGATATTTCAACCGAATTACATTTCTTTTGCCTTATATAAAATAGTTTTATCTTGTGGTATAGCATGTTTATTGTGTAAAATATTGTAGTTGTCCAAATTTTCGTCTATGAAGAATCAGAAAGAATATAGTGTTAATAAAAATCTATCAATTTTTCAGTCATATCATGGAAGTAAAAGAGTTATATATATAGAATGAATATATTTTGAATTGAGCATCACTTGTGAATAGCTACTAGAAGCACTTTCTATGCACAATGGAGGGACCGGATTCGTCATATTCCTTCTTGCTGATCCACCTTTGTTTGAAGGTGGAATGTGAAGCTAGAATAGAACCACCATACCAGACGGAGTAATTCCTCCCTGCTGGAGCGATTATCTTGACCTTCATTGAGGGCGGAGCCAAAGAAAAAATTTCTTTTTGCATCCGGTCAGCAATACCTGGAAACATGGTTGAACCACCAGACAAAACTGTATTAGCGAACAAGTCCTTACGGATATAATCATCGCATTTCATGATGCTGTTGAATGTTGTTTGATGTATACCAGGAGATTCCATTCCAAGGAAGGAGGGTTGGAACATGGCTTCTGGACACCTAAATCGCTCATTTCCAATCGTGATGACCTTACCATCAGGTAGTTCGTAACTCTTTTCCAGAGATGATGATGACACAGTTGTTGCCATTTCCCGTTCAAAGTCCAGAGCAACATAGCACAACTTCTCTTTAATATCTCTAACGATTTCTCTTTCGGCTGTGGTTGTGAAAGAGTAACCACGTTCTGTGAGAATTTTCATGAGATAATCGGTTAGATCCTTACCAGCAACATCCACTCTCAAAATGGCTTTGGGAACGGCGTTACCTTCATAAATGGGTACTGCATAGGAGACACCCTCTCCAGCGTCGAGTACGATTCCAGTTTTAAGACCGGAAGCATGTAAAGACAGTACAGCCTGGGTAGCAACGTACATGGCTGGGGTATTAAAGGTTTCGAACATAATCTGTGTCATCTTTTCTCTATTAGCCTTTGGGTTGAATGGGGCTTCAGTTAAAAGGACGGGGTGTTCCTCTGGGGCAACACGAAGTTCAGTGTAGAAAGTGTAATGCCAGATCTTCTCCATGTCGTCCCAGTTTGTGACGATACCGTGTTCCATCGGATATGTAATAGAAAGAATACCTCTCTTGCTCTGGGCCTCATGTCCTACATAGGTGTCCTTCTGTCCCATGCCAGCCACAACATCCTGTAAAGTATTCATTCAAAGGTTGATTGATTGATTGCATATTGTTTTACGTCCCTCTCGAGAATTTTTCACTCATATGGAGACGTCACCGTATGAAGGGCTTCAAATTTTGACATTTACTCGGCACTCAGGGCCTTTGAGCAGTGAGGGATCTTCATCGTGCCAACGCCTGCCGCTGACACGAAGCTTCGGTTTTTAAAGTATCATCCCAAGGACCCACAACTTTCACTTTAAAGTGCTGAGCGCATGGCGAAGGAACAGTTGCTACCAATTTCAACGACTAGGTCAGTTGCGGCCGAGAAACGAACTCACGACCTCCCGATCACAAAGCGAGCGCTTTATCGACTGAGCTACCGTGAAAGGTTTCATTCATAGATAAAGGAGTGAAATTATTTGCAGAAAACAAGGGTATGTTAACGCAATACTCTATTAGTCTATGTGAATTTATCTCTTTTTTGAAAAATTAAATTATAGAAGCATAATATAATGCTTTAAAAACAAACAATCTTAACATTTAAAGCTATATATGCCGTATTAGTGTTTTATTTAAAAAGTAATAAATATATGCGGTGTCTCATCAAGTTATATAAGTTATATACTTTCTGCAAATAAGACCAATCCACTCCACCACTTTTAAAAGATATGAAATACTATTTGGTAAAAATTATTTTCTCTCCGTGTCGGATAAAAAAACGCCTCTTACTGATATATTCATGATCAAGTTGTCACGCATGTTTACAACAAACAATGGTCCAATCTTGTGAAGGAACCGAAAAGCATGAGAGCACCTCAGATCTAGAGTTGGTTGCTTTTTGTACCGAGGAATAATCACGTGCAATTGTCTTTTCAATGGACATTTTCGGTTGGGTGAACTTCTACAGATGTCAGCGACTATGGATAAAGAAATGTGGAAACCATATTGTGCCAAAATGAAATAACTAAATAAATACAAACAATGATTTAATTTGATCAATCAAAATGGTTATTAGATACATTCGATTCTGCATTTCTTAATGGTTCAAAGCAACAAAAAGTATTCCACAGAATATCATTTATAAATTTGCGCAATATACCGGATGCCAAAACCAGAATTCTAATAAATAATATAATTATATTCTTTACATATGAACCACAGTATTTCTGACCCCTTGAAAATAATATAAAAAATATTGCAAGTAGGTTACCAGCATTGGCTCGGGCTAATTCGAAAGTGAAATTTAGAGTTTAGCGGTAAATTGTAGTGAATGAATAAAATTTAGTAGTGAAAGATATGGGAACCTATTTTACCTGTCAGTTTTCTTCGAGCTAGTCGATTTTTATTCTAACTGTTCTATCCCCCCACCCACTTTAAAAAAACGATGGCCTGGAATTCCTTGACCAATTTTTTTATTAGCCCAACTATATTTCTAAGAAGGCAAGATGTATGGTATGCAAGTGTCATCTACATATGTTATGTAGTTCATATTAAAAAACCATAGGGGATAATTGACGATATCCCATTCAGGGTGCAAACATAGCAGTTTAAATTACTTTCCATACATTGTACTTGACATAAAATATTTTTTGCGCATAATGCGCTCCATTCTGATCACCCAACCGAAAATGACCACTAGCAGTACAGCACGGGGAAACTCTAAACAAACGGACCTGTACAATGGAGTGGGGAAAACTGTAATTTTCATCATTGTTAATCATTTGTGTGCAAATATGAGCATGGGATTAGTAGATAAAAATGTACAAAATGCATCAAGTCTTTTGAGAGCGATTTAAAAAACTAGCCTTTTTGAAAAACACATGTAGTATTCTATGTAGTAACCCATAAATGCATTAAATGCAACTCATTGAGCTGATTGGTCTATTTGTGTCCCTCACTGAACAGACATCACAAAAATATTTTCCTCGACCTGATGATTCTCGCGATGCTTTTCCCGCGCACATGCGCAGATCCACAATAAACGTCAGTCCTTTATAAATATGCATAAGAATATCGTGTTCTTTTCCCGACCAGTACTTTATTAATACCGAATAAAATTTCGTCGAATTTGCAAGAATGCTTCATTTTTGGTAGCTTATCATACTCCAGAAATTTTTGTTCGGTTTCAGCTGTGCAAAAATACTGTTTAACGCGGCATACATATCTTTAATGAATGAACACATCTAAGAGGCAAAAGGACAAAGCAAGCATGTAGCTTCTTAAATATTTGCCCTGGTTTACTTATAAATGATACACGCACATCCATTGTTCAAATGTTTAAAGAAGATAGTGTTAAATTTAGTGTTTCTGATACATGTATATATGACATATGATGATCAAAGAAATATTCTAATACTAGTGATGAATTTAATGCTTCGATGATTTTATAACATTGGATAAAACAAATAATAGCTCATTGTTTTTCACGACATAGGGCAAAAACAACGTATGGCATTTCACTATTCTAAATCTATTGAATATTAAAATATTTTCTATCATATTTCGAAAACATATCTTTAATTTCAGAAGTTGATATTTATATGCTCTGTAGAATAGAAATATATCAAATCCTTTTGGCTCTAAATATATTTCTACTATCAAGCACAATTTAATTGTTTGATACATTTCGATAGTAAAATGTATCTACTCTATGTAAAATGTATGATTCTAAACGTCACACGATGATACACGATAGATAACTCAAACGCACAATTCTTCACTCAAAATGTCGTAGTTCAAAATATTTAGGAATTGATATCTTTAAAACGAAATACGGCTTACATATATAATACTAATCTTAGATTTCAAGGAATTATCAATATTATGTCATAGACTTTGAATAAAAGGGAAATGAATTTATCTGGAACTAAATACATGTAAGACTTAATCAATATTTCATATTACACATAATTATTTAGGTGATACGCCGACTTACCAAAATGGACTTTTTTACGTTCTTGTAGATGGACATTAAAATTGATTGAATTGGATTTCATAATATGCAGGAAGGGATACATTGTACGATTGAAAAAAAATGTTAGCATAGAATGACTTAAATTATATATTAAATCCATATATGTTTCCATTGATTCAATGTTCAGCTTTGTGAATCTCTAAAAATGAACTTACACTGATAAATTAAATCTAGAAAATCACGTCGTGTGCATTTACATGCCCACTAGATATTTATGCAAGCATTAACAAATGTTTATTTATTTTTGATGTATTCAACATTTTAAAAATGTCTTGACCACAATTAACAGTAAACAAGAATAATCATCAGAGAAAAAAAGTTAAACATCTACGAAAACAAAATATTGCACGACTTAATATATTGTTTGTTTACAAGCACTAATTAGTTCGTTTTGCATTTAATTATGTAAATTGCACTTCATTCATTTTATTTGGATTTTAAGAAAAGACAAACGAAATGCTTCTAAACGCACGATCACACACGATTAAAACCGCGCACGATTGAGACTGATACACGCACGACCACTGGACGTTACCCAAACGATCATGCATGATACACGGATAAATCTTCACGAATGGTTTGTCAACAAGAACTTGATGGCAATGTTTTCTTTGGGTAAACAATAACGTTGCAGCCAATGTAATGCATAAAAATTTATTACGTGTATAAAACATAAAACAATTAAATGAATAATCATTTTATTTTTTTTTACATGCAAGCATAGTTAAAAGTGAATCAAATGATGTAACATTATTTTTTTATTATAATATTAATTTATCATTCTAAGAAATTCATACCTGATCCTTGGGGCGTCCCACAATGCAGGGAAACACAGCCCTGGGGGCATCGTCTCCGGCAAATCCAGCTTTACACATCCCCAATCCATTGTCGATAACTAATGCTGCTTCGTCACCCATCTTACTGATCTCGAAAGAGCCCTTACTTCTTCAGAATTTTCGATTAAATTGGATTTATATGTACATGAGCATTAGTTTTATCTGGGTTCACCGAGCAAACACTCAAGCGCAAAAAATGCCTTATAAGGTAAGAATATATGGGTAGATATCACATGATACCAAGAATAATTACACTGTACGCAAGTGTGGAAATAAAATATGCACTGAGACGAGCTCTTTAATTATGCACGCATGTACATTGAGGTTACAACCAAGATTAGTGAACAAGGCGGACGAAGTGTCTATAGTGCGACAAATGTTAAGTGAAAAAAACAATCTCGATTATATAAAATTTTCTTTGATATTTCATCTAACATCAAAGTATTTTGACTTTCGTTGATCAGCTACTGTGGGGGTTATTCGAATCCAGCTCTGAAAGTTTTCGAGGTCAGTGTTTGCTTTGCTCCCAATCTGTGTTGTTCCAATAATTATTTTCAATTTGAATACCGACATAAAATGAATGAAAAATACAATGATCAAGTAAGCCATATACAGGTAGAATTTGTTCTGTTTTTATTTACAAACACATCATATTTAACACCAACCCCCCCCATATAAAGTTTATGTTCTCCTTTAAAGTATGTTATATTCCTATGTCTATCAGATGAAAGACAAAACATATTATTATCTTATGCACATACATGTACATTATGTACACTTCGATGAAACTGTAACAGTCTTTAAAAAGATAAACAAACATCTGACAAATGTTTACAGAACTCTAGAGTACAGTGTTTCATCTCAATCTGAGAATGTAACTCTTTTATTTAAACGCGTTTCAAACATAATATTTGTTTTCTTTTACAAAGAAATGTTAATTAAATAATTATTTCAAAAATATTACTTGTGAAATTGGTATAAAATGTTAAAACGATTGACGGACTCATAACTATGCATCAATTTATCATGACGTTTTTATTTTTAGCGTTTTGAAGTCTAATTTCAAGTTTGTCTCACAATCGACGGTTAATAAAGTTCCCTGCAAAACAGTTTCAAATAATCAAGATCCATGTCGATAACTAAAACTGCAAGGCCTTTATCACACATGCATTTTCTGGTCTCAAAAGTGATTTAATTGAACGATTGCTTCAAATGAACAAATCAGTAAATGTTATTTGCTTTTTTTTTTGCTTTCACAACTGAAAACACCACGAAGTTAAACATTTAAGGCTCGTCGATCACGTGAAAAGGACATGCAAGATAGGGTTCAATATATGTGTGTCACCAATGCACAATGAAATAAAAAGGGAAGAAAAAAAGAAGGTAATTTTAGACATTCAATTACTAAAGATTAAAAATAGATCAATTCTTGAGCGAAGTAAATGTTTTTTGTCCCGAAACGTATGAATAATTTTGAGATATCCTGCAAAAAAAACAGCATTTCTGAACCCCTCTTTTCTTTAATATATATTCAGTTACGTTGCATAGCACATATAGCATTACATTGAATTGCATAAAGCAATTTTAAAACAACAAAATTTATCCAAAGTTGGATATAAAGTATTAAAAAAAAACAATTTTAGTGCCTCGTATATCATTTAAGATCCTTTTTCCCCCGTGGCATGAAAAATGATGTAATTGCTATGATTACAGAGGACAATAAAAGCATAAAGAATAAAAGATGCATGTAAAAGTTATTGTAGAGAAATATACAAGAAAAATATAAACTAAACGTTTTGACATACATGTATATACGAAGGTCATTCAAAAAATCCGTACTAGACATTATTCATCATTGTCATGTTATTATTACAATATTATGGATCTACAAATTTTCGTGAACAAAAACATTTATTTTGTCGAAGTGTGAAGTTTCATACCGTTTGATTAAATATAAATCATGATATCCAATTTTTCAGGTAACATGATTTGTTACCACGGAGCAGAGATGATAACCATTGTAATGTCAAAACAATGATGAGACAGTTTCTCAAAATTACTCTACTTTTTTTTTTATTTCAAAGACGGTTTGTATCAACTTGTATAACACAATTGATAACTAGTTCTGCTCACAATTTTGCAAATACCTTGAACTAGATTTTCAGTTTTATCAAATTCTTTACCGTGTAACTATTAGTACCGCATCAGTGAAGCACACATCCTGTTTTATGGCGTTCCTAACTCCTTGACGTTATTCTTAACTATAACCTGTTTCTTTTCAGACCATCCATTGTCTGATTCGAACTCGCTACCACTCAAACCTGTATTTTCCATTTTATCTTTAAACGGAGTGATCTTTTACATAACCTGAAAGCATCTTAAGTAAGATAAACAAGGAAACTAAATTGAAACATGTATATTTTAGTTCTTTTCAGTTCCATTTATTAGAGGTATGGCTATAGATACTAAAAAGTGAAAATTAGTAAATAACTCAATTTTGACCTTGCTCCGTGACCCCATTTTTGCTGTACTAAATATTTGATAATTTTTTAATTATTAATACCGCATCAGTGAAGCACACATCCTGTTTTATGGCGTTCCTAACTCCTTGACGCTATTTTTAACTATAACCTGTTTCTTTTCAGACCATCCATTGTCTGATTCGAACTCGCTACCACTCAAACCTGTATTTTCCATTTTATACAAATACACGGCTTTAATTTCATACATTTCCCGGTTTATACAGAATGTTTGTAATTTTGTTAAAGAAGTTTTCCGAATGCAAAGCAGAATTTTAGCGCTATTCGCTGCTCCGTGACGTCCTCCAATATAATGGTTTTATGCCTTTTAATCAAGTCCATATTTCTTCAGAAACTTGTATCTTTAAACGGAGTGATCTTTTACATAACCTGAAAGCATCTTAAGTAAGATAAACAAGGAAACTAAATTGAAACATGTATATTTTAGTTCTTTTCAGTTCCATTTATTAGAGGTATGGCTATAGATACTAAAAAGTGAAAATTAGTAAATAACTCAATTTTGACCTTGCTCCGTGACCCCATTTTTGCTGTACTAAATATTTGATAATTTTTAAAAAATATGAAAATACATTTGAATTGTTCTTACTCAAATTATTCGAATTTGTTGTGAAAATATGTTTATCAAAGAACTGGGTACGGTATGTATAACGAGGCGGCCCTGTAAAATTGGCAAAAATTAAACGCATGATAACATTTTTTGAACTGTGTCAATTTATTGTAAAGGTTCCCTTTTGTGTAAAATTGGTATCAATTTTCCTCAACTCACGTGAGTTTTGTGTATATAACGTTCAAAACCAGTCAAATATTCCGGAATTCACCTATTTTGGACGTTTTGCTCCTCTTCAAGTCTATATTTCGACGTGGCCGCATTCGAGTACATATGCGAAACTTTGCAGAAAGAACAAGTATACTTTGTTTACTAATATGCAAGAGAAAAAATGACTGTACAAAAGTGCGGCCACAGGATTAATTTACATTTAAACATGTACCTCTAATTAAAACGAGCGTCAGACCTCCTAATGGACGTGATATTAACTTTACTGTTCAAGAAAAAAAAAATTAATGTTCTATTGAAAGTTATCATGCAGCTTTTTTGAGTAAGATTTATGTTATACATTTATTATGCTGATCAGAATGTTGACAGCAATGTTTTCAAGACAGGTTTAAATTATAGATATGCAATTCAAAGGCGGATCAAAGGCCAGCGTCGGGCGCCCTCGTTTGATTTTTAAAAATGTTTGTATTTTGTAAAACAAGCATTTAACTTAAGTTTTGTACAGTTTAGTATATAAGTTGCAAAAAAATAAGTCCTTTATTTATTTTTTGTCACTAGCATTAAACACAAACATGTAGATCTACATGTTTGGTACGAGATACTAGTATTCCGAAATATTAATTTACCGCCATACATGTACCTATGTATTCTAAAATTCCTGTAAGGTAACGATTGATTTTTATAAAGTAAAGACTGAAACACATATAATAGTAGGTATTCGTTCCCCGGACCCCACCAGGAATATGCCCTCAACCCCCGTAGGGCTTCAACGCAGCTCCAGCTCAGACACCCTGCCTTCAATGCCACCCCTCCCCTGTTTTTAAATTCCTGGAACCGCAACTGTAGTTTACAAGGAACTTTAGATAATGAAATACTATTATTCTGACAAAGTTTTGTAAGGCTACTGTTGTGAGCATTTTCGGCAATTACTACGATATTTTAAAAGAAACATAATGCAATCACCATTTATTTTTGTCTTGATAAAGATTAACTATAAAGATTAACTGTTCCGATTGTAATTAACTTTTTTCTTTATACAGAAAAGTGAAGGCAATTTTAACATATTAAATGAATCCGTTATTCAAGAAATAAAAACACGCATAATCGTGCATTATTTTTGGACAAGAGACAAAACTTTTCCTCTTCCGCTGCATACAATCGATGTATTTAGCTGGATTAGGACTTTTTCAGAGATTGATTAAGACTAACTAGATAAATATACGTAATCGATGACATGTATTAAGTGTCTTATAAATGTCTTAATTAATCTTTATTTAGACAAAAATAAATGGTGATTGCATTAAAGGACCGTCTCTAGTTTGAAATCAAATTCTTGATATACACTTGTTCATTTGCAGTCATTGTAATACATGCTGATAATCAGTAACCCCCCCTTCCCACTTCTATATATTTTCCTATTTAAATGAAGACAACATACTCATCTTTTATCTGCAACTCCTCTTATACCACTGAATGATATTCAATGAAACTTTCGCAGAATAACTTATTGCCATTGTGCACCTTCTATTTTACTTCTCGATCCGACACGTTTCGGGTTTCCAACGGCAAAACATAAAAAGAGAAGTACCCCAAAATCGGACACCTGATCACTATACCGTAAATCTGGAATTTTTAAGTCGATTTATTTTTGCGAATTTGGACCAAAAAGCTGTTGATTAATTTTTACGCTTCAAATTTTTGCAATTGTTACTGGCGCTAAAAATAAAAATCACTTAAAGACCCAATTTTTTTACCGTATGGTTACCTGAGGAGGGGGAGTGGTCAAAGTAACAGTGGTGTTATTTACCTGGAGACCCCCAATACCCAAGATGTCAAAAATCTGTGTATATGTAGCATTACACAGGAAGTCTGTGTTTGGTAATCAGGGTCAACAATCAACATTACGTGTTTTGTGTTTGGTTTTGAGTGAAACTACGTAAAATAATTATTTAAATATGGAATTTATTTGTAAACTAAACGCTTTCATCGTAATCATGGTAATGTTTTGAAGGAAAAAAATAAGATTCATGTATATCGTTTTAGAAAATGTTTTCCTTGCATAAAAGAAAAATTCACGAGTAAAAACTACAAATCAATAATATTTATCTTTTTTAATCTTCAATAAAAGAAATCAAATTGATTTAGAAAGTCTGACTATTGAAATAAAAAAAATATTGAACCACCTATTCGTCGTGCATGTGAACATGCATTTACCGCGATCGGAATGTATTTTTTTTATGGCCAACAATGTTGTCCAAAATATTCCATATTTTTTATTCTTCGTGTGTTAACAAAATTTTATTGTTAGAAAGACTTCTTTTCAGAATCGGTCAATATTAATTACCTTCACATTTTCATTACGTATATATTTAGACGCTAGAGGAAATTCGAGCATTAATTCTGACATCAATTTCTGTACAACATCGTGCGAATTGTAGCCATAGTACAAAATAAAACATCTTTTAAAAACTATGCTATGCCGTTTATCAGTGCTGAATATTTTTCTTATATCCCATTTCTTAAAAAATAATTTAATTCGTCGGACTTCTAATTACGGCAATTAGAGCCGGTTTCTGTGGACGCGGTCTTTTTTTCTACATATAAACGTGGACGATATAACACTTACAAGAAACAAACAGCAATGAAGATAGAAAAGAAATATTTTATTATGTCAATGTTTTAATAAACTACTTTCAATTATTTTTTTAAATAAAATTCAAACATATTGGAGTTTTCTAATACGCGTGTATACTATGCAGGTACATGAAAGCGTTTGACGCGTGACCAGGTAATTGTTTTTAAAACATGCAAACTCGGATTATCAAAAGCACAGGTAGCTGAGCTGTCAATCAAATCAGAAGCTATTGTTTTTTTAATGATTGACAGGCGGTAAATTATTGATCTTCAATCAGGTAGGTTTTGGGGGCGTTAACATAAAATTAGGTGTTTAAGATTTTCATATCAGTTTATGTTTTATTTAGAATGAACAGTTCGAATACCACAGATATACTCGTGACGTGGCAAGAAATTGCAGAATTGCTCTGAAACAATTTATTTTGAAGAAAAAAATACAGAAGGATTTGCACTGAAACCAGTGAAAATGACTTTAAAATTAATTATAACAAACCTTTTAGAGGTTGAGTATGCCTTTTAATCTTTTAAAATATAATCCAAATAAAGATAAAAATATTATAATAACTAATTTTTTCAATGTTTGTTTTTTTTTCTCAGCCAAAATTTATACGCCGTGTTTACATTTGGAACTCTCTAATAAATGCACAAACGGCAATGGTGAATGCACTGGGTTCGAGTTATCGCCCGTGTTGATACTGGTTAGATAAAATAACTGGTCTCTCTTTCTTGGCAAAAAAGTAACAAGAATAGATATGGGTTACCCATAGATATTCGACTTTTAGATTTAATATGTTTAACAGTGTTTAGAATGACTTTAATAAAAAAAAATGCACTGTCTAATTATGGAACTGGTGTAAATTTCGTGAGTCCGTAGCATTACGGTCACCCAGTGTCTTAACAAACAGTACACATACCTGTGTCCGCAAGACCAACATTAGCTTTGGTCTACACACGTGCGATGGAGCAGTCAAACGCATCCAGCGAGCTCGGAGAAACACGTTTTGTTTTGCCGAGAAGTTACGATGGCAGACAAAACATTTCTTAATTAGATCATATGAATACGAATTCTGATTAATAAAAATTATGCACAAAAAAAAATTCCCTGTTGAACTATAGTTTGTTCTATCATTTGCATCTGCAACAACTTGTGTTTAAAATGGCCGGGTTAGGAAAATCAGGACCGGGTCGGAAAATTCTAAAATGAAAACGTTTTTGTTTTGAAAATTACTGAAATATACTAATGTAATCGTCGAAGAAATTACTTACATAACTCAAGTTCTGTATAAAATGGTATGCTTACTTCAACACGAACCCGAATCTCCGACCCAGTTCTCGTTTTGCTACACACTTTATATACCCTACAGTTTACCAAGTGTACACACGAGCAGAATCCGGCCAGGGATTGAAAATTCCGTCATTTAATAAAACACACACACAGAATGATTTTTTTCTTTAAGAAGAAATTGTATGATAATTAAAGGACTATAAACATGTACTTAATACAATTGTTGATATAGTATTATCAATTCATCGGTGAAAAGATATGAATCGAAGAATGACCTAAATATTCTCTGTTATCAAACATGTAAAAAAAAGGCTGAGGAGGGAGCGAGCGTAGGAATATTGATATTTTTTATTTGCATTTCGGGGGGAAAGTGATTTTCTAATAATAATTTGACGTTATTTTTTATTTTTATAACGTATGACATACACAACTTTACTCTTATCATGAACAATAATGTTTTATCTACTTATCATGATGGGACTATTTTGGTCGGACCATTTTGTGTGAGCTGTAGCTGAATACAGTAATATATCTTGCATAAATAGTATGCACTGATCGAATATATTAAAAAGGGACTTACCGTCTCAGTGCTTGTCAAACCATCGGATGATATTGCATATAATGAGGGCAATTTACACGCACGGGTAATTAGTTTCTAGCCTAGTTACAGTAGTTTAAACAGGTTTCAATTTAAAAATGACCAGTGCTTACCGATCGACGCCTATTCACTGGCCTTTTGAAAAAAATTCTTTACATGTTGATTTATTTTTTAGAAAAATATTTTTGCGAATGAAATGCATGTTCAAATTTGCTAAAAATTTATCAACAGTAAAAATTTTCAGATTTACGGGAGGGGGAGTGTATACCCTGCCACTTTTCAAGCGAGGATAAAAAATCTAAAATTAAAGAAAGTTGAAAAAAGGCATATCATATCATATAACCCCGAAATAGGGAGTAATTAATATGATTATAAAAAAAGACCCAACATTTATAGCACCGCCATTTTTTGGAATGGAAAGGAGGGATTCTGTTGATAGTTTTTTTATTGCCCCCCCCCCCCAAAAAAAAAAATTCTAACTTCATAAACAATACGTTCAATTTTTAAAGTACTCACCTAATTTCATCTGGATGAATCAATTTTCGTAGACTAGCATGTCTGGTACAATCGTTTGTTAAAAAATTATACATTTCTGAAAATTATTACACTATTTCAAACTATCTACGATATATGATGAACTGAGAAAATGTTCAAAATGGTTTACTGGAACATTGGCAGGATTAAGTAATTGTTTTCGCTTCAGAGAATTTACAGACTTCATTTATCGTAACGTTTAAATCAGTAACGTCGTGATGACGTTGTTACGTCAAAAGTTGTTATTATTAAAGAAAATGCACCATTTTTCCAAGCCTCTGGCGGAAAAAGGGTATGAGATACTTCCAAAAAATAAAATGATTTTGAAAGGGCACATTGTGGGCATGTTTGTAAAAAAACTTCAATCAAATTTAGAGACAGGGCCGCCTCGATATACATACCGTATCCAGTTCTTTGGATATAATATGACATTTATTAAAAAAAGTTAGGACAACAGTCTACGAACGTTTTGAATGACCCTCTCTCCCCACAACTTCCCCACTCTTTCTCTTTTTTCTCCCCACATCCTCCCCACACTTTTTTCCCTTTCTCTCCACTCTCCCCACTCTCTTTCTCTCCTTTCTCCCCACTTCCTCTCCACTCTCTACCCTTTCTCCCTACTTCCTCTCCACTCTCTCTCTTCCCCCCTTCCTCTCCACTCTCTCTCCTTTTCCCCCCCTTCCTCTCCACTCTCTCCCTCTCCACTCTCTCTCATTTCTCCTTTCTCCCTACTTCCACTACACTCTCTCTCCTTTCTCCCTACTTCCTCTTCACTCTCTCTCCTTTCTCCCCACTACCTTTCCACTCTCTCTCCTTTCTCCCCCATCCTCTCCACTCTCTCTCCTTTCCTCTTACTTCCTCTCCACTCTCTTCCCTTTCTCCCCCTTCCTCTCCCCTCTCTCTCCTTCCCCCCCCCTTCCTCTCCACTCTCTCCCTCTCCACTCTCTCTCATTTCTCCTTTCTCCCTACTTCCACTACACTCTCTCTCCTTTCTCCCTACTTCCTCTTCACTCTCTCTCCTTTCTCCCCACTACCTTTCCACTCTCTCTCCTTTCTCCCCAACTCCTCTCCACTTCCTCTCCACTCCCTCTCCTTTCTCCCCCATCCTCTCCACTCTCTCTCCTTTCCTCTTACTTCCTCTCCACTCTCTTCCCTTTCTCCCTACTTCCTCTCCACTCTCTCTCCTTTTCCCCCACTTCCTTTCCACTCTCTCTCTCCTCTTTCCCCACTCCGTATTTCAGGACTGTTAGTTTACACAAAACAATTTGAAACAGTCATCAGACATATAGCTTTATAATTTCTATTCAGAATTATAAGATATCAATTACTAGTAATTAATTAACTAATGATTAGTAAATTGATAAGGTTTTTCTTTTTTAAACTGCAAGGTCGTGTTTGTGAAACATTTTTCTCAGAGAAAAATATTAAGCTAATAAACATTTTTCTAAATGAAGTTTGCCTTAGTTATTTGAAAAGTCTTCATACATGTATGATGCGGCAATGTTTTCCTCTCATCTAAAATAAGCCTTAATTTTTATTTTGTAAATTAACTTTAAATAGATACGTTAACATCCCACATGTAATTAAAAACATTAATAAAGCAATTTTACGGATATAACGCTATAAGCGAATTGCAATGTTTAAGAAGAACTCGGATAAAACGAATATGCGCACTTGAATGAAACATATTTCTAATGATGGCCCCCAAAAAGAAAACAATATTTTGTTTCAGTCTTGGTTATATCTTAAATCAGTCCTCTCCGATTTTAATGAACATTTGCCACTGTTCTGCTCATGCGCTAATCACGTGAGAGAGGCCTGATTCGACCCACTACGTAATATTTTGTCACAAAAGCTGACACATTTTTCTATTTCTTTCCATATAAGTTAATTTTCATAACATGAACAGTTCATTTGTTAGACATGGTCAAATCCCTTAAACAGAATGAGTGGATAAGAATACCCTTTCCAAAAATTAGCATGGCGACCATCAAAACCAAAAGCTTCTGTCTCGGGAGATACTTTTATTCAAAATAATAAAAAGTGGTTGCCTCCTTTTTACTAATATATGTATATTTAAAATCTAAAAATAAACGATAATTTATGTATTTGATTATTATAATATTGTTAATATAATCAATTATATTTCAAAGTGTAAATCGGATGTCTTTGATAACAAATAGCTTAATTAAAAATATCTCTTTTCAAACTTGATTTTACTTTACAACAGAACAAGTATCATTTTTTAACATCTGCCTTCTTTCACTATAACAATCAGTCCAAACATTGATTGACTTTATAGGAAGTCTTTTGTCTTAATGAACTGTGTACAAAGAACAAGGTTCACTTTTGCCTTATTTGGCCCTGTGAATTTCTGAAAAACTGAAACTGCATAGTGTTAATTACCAATGCGTAAAATATCACTTAGATCTTCGGTGATTGTGTTTCTGTAAAAAATAACGTCATTTACTGGCTAGTCAATGCATTATGACGTCACGAAATGCGTCAATTTCATCATATTCTGCAAAAGTGTACAAAAACGGCCAATTTTTAAAGCTATTTCGTGTTATTTAATATAGAGCGCAGCCTCTGATCTAAAATATGCAACTAGTAAATGATAGAACTGTTTCTGAGGATTTATGGACATGTTTTATTTATTAGATCAGAGAGTGCGCTCATATTATTTTTCTTCACTGAAAGTACTCAGTTATACCTGATTACATAAAAATTCAAGAACATTGCAATTTCATAGAGCCAGTTCTCCAGGACCTGGACATTGAGATGAAAAATTTTAATAGGATATGAAATAACCAAGTCTCTACTTTATTTTAAAGCTTCAAATAAAGAATCAAGTGTTAATCAATCAATTGGTATATCTACAGGGCCATTTCATGCGTAATGTGAACCGACTTCTTTATAAGTTACTGCAATTTCTAAGATATACCATAAATTTGACTGTCGTTCGTTGAACGAATATGGCTGAGAAAACCATTTTTTGTCTATATAGTGACACCATTTTTACATTGTGACGTCACATACAGGAGCAAAACTTAATTTAGCATTTTCTATATATTGAACTGCTGAATGGATATGTGTGTACCAAATTTCTTTCTAATCTGAATTGTCGTTTTGTAGATTAAGAGATTGTTCGCGAACTTTTTGATCACCCCTCGTTTATGAAGTTTATCGGTTAAGGAAAAGATAGGGTAAGACCATGCAGTATCTAACCCCCGATTTTAGTTGTCTTTCAAAATGATCCAACAGTTCATCCATACAAACATGTTGTTACTCCTGCCACAAAATGAGTATTGCACAATCTTGCCAATCTATCTTTTTTATACACTAATATCAGATTCAGTTTATGTGTAAAAATCTCAGATAGGCAAGCTTGTGCTCTGTGTTTTCTGAAGGGAAAAGTATCTCAAATATGATGAAGTTCCACAAGAATTGAGGAAATACTGGAAAGTGTTCTATTTCTAAGCCCTCTAGTGGCTTCCATGTAACGCAGTGCTATTAAGGCTTCCCGGAGCTCAAAATGCATCTAAAAGGTAACATTGCATGGCAAAGTTGATTTTGAGTTTTATTTTAATGTTATTTACTTCAGTACGCCAAATTCATATAAATAAATGCATACAAATCCATAGAAATATCTACATAAAATTTTATAATACTGTTATTATTGCATGTATATTATGTCCTAATACATTTTATAGATTTTCTCTTGAAGCCATTTACAAAAATTGAGGATTTTTTTTAATTGACAAAACGATAGACTAATCCACACTTTACGAAAGTTGTTTCCCTTTGCGGGGTCAAGCAAAAGGCCAAAAGGGAAAGAAACAACATTTCTCCTCTTTATGATACCAAACGTTTGGGTGGGCTATGATGAATACACTGTGTTTAAATTGTGTTCTTTGGATGTGTGGGTAGCCCCAACATGGGGCAATCAGTATACCCTGTGCAACAATTTTTCACTGTCAGATGACAAAGTTACAAACCTGAAAACTACAAAGGGTACTGTGGGGATTCTATGGGTTTATCCCCGAAGATGGCGGCCAAGGGACATAACTTTTGAAAAATGTGGATTCAACTATTGTTTAATGTATTTCTTTTTGTAGGAAAATGATAACAAACCTGCCAGTCTTGATATAAATCAGAACAACAACACGACGAAAAAAATCATCATGATTTACAAATAAATTAAACTAATAGTTCAGTGTTTGGAGTCATAATTTTGAATAAATTGATACATGTGTGTTGCTTTAACTTTGTCTAGATATTAAAAGGATTTTTGTCAATTGTCTTTTTGTTTTAATCATGCTGATGTTTAGAACATCATATTATGCAATATATATGCAATAGATTAGTTTGTTCAAATCCACCACTGATGTTTTTAGAGGTAAGTGTTTGTTTTTGTTATTATCTGTGTAGATCGAATGAATGTTTGAACTTGAATACCGACTTTCTAATAATAATAAAAATACAATGATCAAGTGACATATCGTAAGCAAGTAATTACTATATTAATATTTATCAAAACATCGTACTAACCACCTGTCTTGTACATGTAATATAATATTATGTTTTAGCAGGTTATGGTATTGAATTAAAGACAAGACATATTGTAATCTTATACAAATTTGTTATGTAAACCTCTATGAAACTTTTTTCTTAGAATGGCGAATGCTTACAGAACGCTTTCGAATAGTACTTATTCAATAGCTTATGATTTATGTTTTATTTCAATATATATATATACAAAGGGATACTACAGAAAAAGAACGTGAAACTAAAGAAAAACATTTTATAAACAGACATAAACCTGTTTTAAATGCAGCATAATTATATTTCATTTAAGAAATATACTTTTACCCACATAATATAACTATGCTATTTGTATAAAAAATCTAATTTCCCGTAATAACTAACTTACGTATTATCATGACGTCATAATTAACTTGGCTAAAGCGCGACTAAGTATTGGCGCTTTATGACGTCACAATATGAATGTTGATTTTGTGTAACTAAGCATTGTATTGTCAAACTCCTGAAGATTGGAAATGAAACCGGTTGAGTTTATTTCGGTGTTGTGATTTTTTTATTATATATATATATATATATATATATATATAGAATCAAATTAATGTGTTTCATACATAACATATTTTTATTCTATTTTTTATTTCAATGGTCTAGGTACATGTAGCATAAAATTGTTAAAACGATTAACAGATTCACTATACTGTTTTATATTGATCATGTTAATTTATCATGACTTTTTTGTATTTCAAGTGTGTCTTTTGGGCGACGAGGAATATGGTCCCCTGCCAAACCGGTTAACAAATTCAATATCCATTGTCGATAACTAAAACTGCAAGGCCTTCGTCGCTCATGCATTTTCTGGTCTTTAAAGTGCCTTGGATGTTCGATTGAAATGAACAAATCATTAGATTTTAATTGCTTAGATATGCTTTCACAACCGAACAACATCTTTAAGTTATTTTTTAAAACATTTATAGCTTTGGTATCATGTGAAAAGGTAATGTAATACGAGTGTTGATCCAAAAGTAATGTCACAACTTCGATAAAATTGCTATAAATCGACGTAAAACAACGAAATTACACATGATGAAAGTTTAATTAATTTCAAATCAGACCTGAAAAATTCAAAGGAATATGATGTATACTTTCCAAAATATCAGATTTTAAACAATGTGCGTTTGTGGTAGTCGCCGCACCTAAAATTATCGTCATATGACGGATACGCACCGTCATTCTTTCAAGCGTTTTCCTTTTATTTCATCACAAAATATTTGTGATTCGCAAAGACTTTCACCAATTTCACTTTCTTTAAGAATTCTTGGTACCATTATACACTCAATCTTTTCATAATTAAGCCCTCTGTCAAAATATTTTGAACAGTAGCAGAATACAAACTTAAAAATTCACATG